GTAGGGACCGTGGTGGCCAGTAAATGCCAACCATTCCTCCAGGCCACCTCTGACCACCCAGAGCTTCCTCTTGGTCCCCATCCACTATGAGTCATGAAGGCAGGTGCTCTGCCCTCCCCATCACTGTGGAGCCTGGCTTCAGGCCATGAGGAATGAACAGCAAATGCCCTTGCTCTTCAGGCCAAGAGACTGCTTTTTGAGCTGGATTTAACAACAGCCACTCACCTTTTCTTCCTGAGCCTGCTCCCCAGTGGTCAGCTGGCTCCCATGTGGGCAAGAGCTGGCCCAGGAAAGGCTGCCTGCAGAGGACAGGGCTGGGCATGTTGAGAGCCTTGCAGAGACTGCCTTTGGGTGAGCCCGTGCCTGTGTCTCAGATCTAAGTAGAGGCCTTGCCCTTGCTTTTGTCGTCTTTGTGAGGGCTCACTCCGGCCTCAAACAGCGCCAACATACGGCTGCTGCTGAGGTTCGGCACTAACATCTCATCTCGGGATCCACCAGGTCTCTCTTGCCCACGCAGTTGTCTGGGCAGATGGAAGTGTCTCCCTACAAGCTCACAATCTCCCATCCTGGCAAGTCAGAGACATGAAGGCTGAGTCCCACCCTTTTAGTCTCCAGACTCTGCAGGGAGAGCCAGGGTGAGCCTGGGCCTAGCCTGTGGTGAGGTCACTAGAGTCACCTCCCCTTCCCTCACTTATATGTTTCCCTTCCTCCGGGAGAGACCTCCTACCTAACCTGAAGTGCAGCCCTCCAGGTGGCTTTCCTTTGGCCTTCCAGACCTCGGGAAGTTTGGCTTCCCTTCCTTCCCATCCCAGTGCTGTGGTTCCTGCCATTGGCCATGATTTCAGGGAGCTGGCTGGAGGCCACAGCTGTGCCAATGGCCTTTCCTGGTGCTGCCACACTTGCAGACCACACGCACAGCCTCTCTCCTTGGACATATGTGAACACAGTGGCATTCAGTTTTGGTAGCCTGGCATGGTAGGTACTACCCAATGAAGAGTGTACTATATATTTTCTTTACTATAGGCCATACTTATACAGACGTGTATATATATTTATATAAGATCCACCTATCCTAGGATGGAATGTTTGAGGGATTATAAAATTGGAAGCAAAAAAAAAAAAGTAACACTTCCAGTTGTGAGCCAAGATTGTAACGTGCGAGCAGCCAGGAGCTTCCTGTCAGTAACATGTTTTCAATAAATACTCTTTCATGTACAAACTGATTCCTACTTCCTACTAACAGCTCTTTCTCTGTTACTGGCGCCCTGCCCAAGGGAACTTTCACCTTGACAAGCCTTCATTTCACTGTGTCTGGGAGACTTGAGAGAGCGCCAACTGGAGTCCTCAGCCACCTTCCAAGGGCCCCTTTCTCCTCTTCAACCACCCTGCCTCCACCCCACACACACCTGCTGGGTAAAGATGCTCACAGATTGTCACATCAGGACAAAGTGTTTTCTGCTCGGGCCTGCTGAGTGCATCAGGGAAAGACACTGTACACCCCCATGAACACATCCTCCCTCTTCCTGCCAGGGACACAGCCAGGGAACAGTTTGAGTACTTGTACCTTACAAAGAAAACACGTTCTTCACCCCGTGTGTCGCCATGCTTAGTGCCCAGCCTTCCAGGTTACGTTGTAGGCTGTTGCTCCAAACCTCAGCCTTGGTAGTAGGGAGGCTTGAATGAGGGCTGTGATGAAAATACTTCTGTCTTCCCTCTGAGAGAGAAGGGGGCAAGGACAAGCTCTTTCAAACTGCATAGAAAGTGCATGCAGTACAGGCCTTGACTGAACAGACAGACCTTGGGAGCGATGGGTGCCATTGTAAGTGATTAAGCGCAGAATGAACTCATGCCTGTGAAATGCCAGCTGCTGGTGGTGAGGGCAGCAGTGGTTTGCATAATAAACGGCTGACACTCTGGCCTTGAACCTTCTGTCCAGAGCAGCCAGGGAACCCAGCCGAGTCACTTGTAAGGATCCATGTTTGCAGCCAGTCTTAGAGCCAAAGCCCAGGAGGGGATTGGAGTCAGAGGGGGACAAAAAGCCCCAAAGTGGGCCTCAGTCTTCAACCCTACCCTGCTCTGTCCTCCTAATGGATCTCCCTGTCTGCTCTGATGGCTCTGCCCCTTTCAATCCATCCTGTGAGATGAATAAGATCTAAACTCCGCCGCTGGCATTTTTGGACCACTGCATCCTGTGCCTTGGCTACTTTACCCACCACAGTTTTGTTCTCCTTATCTTTCTCCTCCTCTCCTTGTTTCCCGTCTCCCTTTACTCAACCTATTGAAATGGAGATCATTCTTATAAAGTTTCAGGCACACAGAAAATGGTTCACAAACGTTTATTATTTACTACCTTCCATGGACCTTCTAAATCCTAAAGCAGTGGTTCTCAACCTGTGGGTCGCGATCCCTTTGGGGGTCAAACGACCCTTTCACAGGGGTCGCCTAAGACCATCGGAAAACACATATATAATTACATATTGTTTTTGTGATTAATCACTATGCTTTAATTATGTTGCATTTGTAACAATGAAATTGGGGGTCACCACAACATGAGGAACTGTATTAAAGGGTCGCGGCATTAGGAAGGTTGAGAACCACTGTAAAGTGCAGTGCCCTGACGCAGCACTCCCCAGCTGGCTTGTGCAGCCAGAAGAAAAAGCCCGTGAGAGTGATCTCTGCAGTTCCTTCCACGATTGCCCAGCACGGGCTTGGAACAAGGTAAACAACTGGTTCAATAGAAGTAAATAGGTGACACTTTTCTGGGTGCCCCGACTCTGCAGCCAGCAGGCACGAAGGCTCCAGAGCGAGGCCCCGGTGATCACAGCACGAGGGGGTGCCGGGCGCTGGACTGCGGAAGG